CTCTCTCTCTCTCTCTCTCTCTCTCTCTCTCTCTCTCTCTCTATGTTCACAATTCAAGCCTAACATGAGTTTTGTACTCTGCAACTTTTTCGTGCCGAATAATTACAATGGATCTCACAGGATAACTTTGCCTTGGTCAATTATCCTCTTTTCATTAGAGAATTTAGATTTAGATGTTAGACTTTGATCAACTAATTAAACATATAATTTAGATTTCAGATGTTTTGCCAAACCACAAACATACACAAGATTTGCCATCTTTCACTCGACAAGCAGGCAAAATGATTCATCATTATGCCTCCTGGAGTAACAGTGTGAGCAGTGGTAACAAGTCACTGCAGACTCTGTTGTTCCTTTGTTTCCCTAACTTTCACTGGCCAATGGAACAAACAGTTCATCGTGGCAAGGGCAAAACCAATTGTTCAGCACAGGTTCTTCATCCATTAATTGCAGATACTAAGACGAAAGATGCAAAGTTTTTGCTCGACCAATTCCTGATAATGTCGTCGTGGAAGCTGAGCAAGACAAGCACAAGCAAAGCATAAAGTCGCACATTATAATTCTTATTCTTTCATTGTGGAAGAAGGGAAGGAACAAGTGTTTGCAGCCAGCCTCAACTTTCCCTTTGTGATGGAAAGAAGCCCAGGATGTGCCTCTTTTTACCACCACCATGCGTCACGAGATCTTGCACGCCTTTGGTGCATCTTCTTCCTCTCCTTTGGGACCCAAAAACAATGGAGTAGATTTACTTGCTGCCGCCGGTGCAGTAGCCACTGATAAGATCAGGCTAATATGAATGACTTGATGATCCTCTAGAATGTACATTGGCTTACTTGCATGCAGTGGTTAGGCTTTCATTTCGCGAGCTTGAGATAGGAAGAAAAGGTGCTTCATGGATGCCAAATTGCTTTTCACTTCGCTTGTGCTTGTGATGAAGCTGTTGAATCGTCGGGTGTCGTTTTTATGGGGAAGAAAGCGACGCAGCAGCTACCTCGTGCGGGGAGGAGGGCGCCACGCAATTTAAGAGACGGCAAATGCACCGGTGAAGAAGGATATTTCTGCATGAGGTGGCGAGACTAAAGCTGTGGTCGAGAACAAAAGGAAGAGGGCAAGTGGGCGATGCTCCATCACGGAACCCGCTGATACTGTTGATCATCGGGGTAAACAACAGGGAGGAAGTGATGTGAGGAAGAAGCTGAGATACCCGACAGGGGGAGAAGATTCCGAGGAGGGCGAGGAGGAAGGAAGGAAGGCTCACGAGCACGAGCTGTTCTCCGGCATCGGTCATCCGTATGATTAGAGTGGGCGTATGTACCGAAATCAACGATGAAGAGATAAAAAAGAACTGAGCATCGAACGAATACTCATTGATTTGGGTCAAAAGAACAGATTTAGCATGACTCAAACTTATCATCTTTCTGAGTTCAATCTATCTCGCTCAGTAAGAGTAGGAAATTGCTGGAGTCCAATCGGAGTAGCTGCGATGTGTTCCCGGTGACCTAACACAACAGCAGTGGGGAAAGCAATGGTAGCAATATACGAACCACGATGTCGGAGTGAGTCCATTGTTTTGGGCAATTTAGTTTATGTATGTATTATTTGAATCAATTTTATTTGAATAAATACAGAAAATGAAAGTCTATCGATCGATAATATCAAAAAAAATATTCATCAAATTAATTAAGTCAAGAATATAATCTTCTTATTTTTTTATTTTTATTTTTTTATAAAATGATTCCATCTTTTTTTTTTTTTTGATAAAATGATTCTATCATTTATTCAAATAGAATAGAGTGGGAACGAGAATGCCTTGCGGCCACATGTCTTCTTGCATCTTAGATTCCAGTCACTGTCACTGACATCATCACTGGTGATAGATAGATAGATAGATAGATAGATAGAGAGAGAGAGGGGAATAATAGCAGTCAAAAAACAAAAAAGGCAGTACATAGAAATAAACTAATTTATAATAATCATAAAAAAAAAGCAGTCCAGTACCACCTATCCTACACCTACATATCATCTGTGGAATAATGGCAAAGAAGTTGAAACCCTCTCTGTCTCTCTCTCTCTCTCTCTGTCTCTCTGTCTCTCTGTAATCCAGATAAGATGGTCTCTTGGTACACAATAAAATGTTAATAAACAAGTTATCTTGTCAAAACGAAATTTCAGATATTGTGGTAAATAGGATTCACCCTTGGGGAAAATTCAGATATTATATTTCAGATATTTATGGTAAATAGGATTCACCGTTGGGGAAATAATGAAAAAGGACAAAATCCTAATAAAAGATGGTCTTTTATAAGATAATATAATAAATTTAATTTGTCATGGTTAACATGAATGTCGTCGATGCATGGATATTCACTGATATAAATGAAACACCGTGCACTATTGTCGTGGTGGTGGTGGTGGTGTGGACCTCCATTCGATCCGAAGACCTACTCGATCCCTACTGCTAGATTCCTGTTACAGCGCCCTCCGAAGAAGATAAGAATGGTGTGGGGTGGGGGGGGGTGCGGAGGGAAAGCAAGCACTGCCCACCTACTCGATCCTCTTAATTATTGTCACCATCTGCTGCACTCATCACAGTACCGCTGACGCAGTCACGCAGTCCTTCGTCTTCCCTAAGCATTGCGTTATGAGAACCGACGCGCTGCTGCCGCGTCGGATGCTCATCGACACAAGTATCCTATTGCGACTGTGGTGAGCACCGTCTCCACTGTAGATTTTCCCGTGCACTCAACTCAGTCGGTCAAACTATGCGCTGCGGTGCAGTGTTGCTGTGGTAACCTTCGTCCCTTTTCTCCTAGCTTTCTTTCCATGGCGACAAAAGTGCACAGGTGGGGATGTCCGACGATGTGAATGAACTTTGAGCAGCTATACATGTATAATGAATCTTCTTCCTCCTCTGTTCCAATAAACCTCTATCGACATCCATACATCAAGTAATATAACAACAACCCAAATTGTCCCATATAACTGATACTAACATAGCAACCATTAGTTAAGAATAATAAATTTTTATTTATAATTTTTATCGATCTATTACCTCTTCTTGTTGTGTTACAATTAGTAATTTATCTCAAAATTTCTAATTCCATCTCGTAAAGGGCCGAGTACACAATTTTACTTGCATATAATAATGTAAAACAACTGGGCCTGTGCCATGGCTTTCCACTCATGAAACAACCAGAGTGATATAAAAATGGAAGAATCCACAGGAGCAACCTCCAAAAATCTTAATTACAATTGAGGCTTCAGTCCGATCTGGCAGAGTCCAGTAAGGCAAGCAAGGTGAATCCTGAGCTTCATTTCATTGAATTATGAAACAATAGATTGGATGGAGCAGGGCTGGTCCAGTGGTTCATCGTGTACCGGGAAGATACAACTTGCTATGACAGACAGCCCATGGTGCCGCCTCATTCAATCACAAGATATGTTACAACAACAACAACAACAACAACAAAAACTAAGCTTCAAGACACAAGAATGGCAGCGGCGACACAACTTGCCTTCTGTGGTGCCGCGTCAGATTTGAATCCATCATCTCCGATGACACAACGACACAAACAACCCAGGATCATATGTAGATTGGTTTCACATCATTAGGCCCAAAACTCGTGCCACAAGTTGGGCACTTACGTTGACGGCTGCTAGAGGTCCTCTGAATGCACTGGTGGCAGAACAAATGATAACATTTCACAATCACAACCTGAGTCCACAAGAAGAAAACATGTAAAATATTTGGAAAACGGAGTAGCCTAGTTAATCATTAGAAGAAAAAAAGAATGTCAGCATAAACAATCACAACGATCGTAGTAATAGTTTCTAGAGTGTTTTTCACCTCCTTTTGTCGGTTGAGGCAGATACTGCACTTAAGGATCCCCCTGTATTCCTTTACTTCTTGCCGAAGTTTCTCCAGGACCGTAGAACCGTTGATTTGTGCCCTAAGGTAGGCAGCTTTCCTGGTCATGACATCTAAGCCTTCCTCAACTCTCTTCTTGTCATACCTGATCATTTGGACAAGAATTCAGTAGGCTCTAGCACGGTGAACTCAACTCTGTTATAACAGCAGGAATAATGTAGCTTGGTAC